AATAAGTTTTGGTGTTGTTGTTGTTGTTGATGATGATGTTTTTATGGGAAGTTGGGGGATTGTCGTTAGAAGGAAAACATGAGGTATCAATGTTTTCACAGAGCGCTCACACACCACTAAGGGTTCTGTTCTCATCTTGTCTCTCCCATGGCAATCTTCCCTGCTCCACACAGTCTTAGACAGAGGTGAGACATCAGATGTTCAGATGGTTTTCTCGCGAGCGTCTGGACAGTCCACAATAGCTGGTGTTTACTAGGCTCCTCAGTTTCCCCCTCTGCTGCCCCCTGCTTCTCTAGAGATGCCACAGCCTACATAGCAATTCATACCACTGTGTCCTGCCGTGCCTGCTTTGGGGATGGAGACTTCTGAGCCCTGCAGAGGAGCTGTGTTGTATAGAGCTTGAAAACACTATCTTTTTCCAAATCTAAGTTTAGCTTGAGCATCCTGCTGGCCTTGCACTGCTGGGACAGGGTGGCATTTGCATTGACCACTCTCAGTGTGCACCTTCTGGCTAGTTAGAAATGTATATGTATATGTATATCTGTATGTGTATGTATATATGTGGGGGTGCAAGGGAGCTGAGCGGGAGAGGAGTGGGAGAGAGATTATGCGTGGTGTGGTATACGGCAGTGAGATTGGAATCCAGGTAGTTTGTATGCATACATGTGTATGTGTGGGAGTGTGCATGAGAAAGAAAGCATGCACAGTGTGGTGTGTGGTGGTATGAGCAGTGTTCACGGTGGTGCATGTGGACATGTGTGTGGCGTGGTGGTGTAGATACACGTGTATGTGTCCGTGGTGGTGTGTATGCGAGGGCATTTGTCATTGCCGCAGGAGGACTTGACTTCATAGTCTGCCTCAGCTGCAGCACCATGTTCTAACGTCAGAGCCCGTGATGAGCTCCTGGCTACCGTGGCCGCCTATCAGGGCCACACATTGTCACTCAGTGCTGCAGTGTGGTTCTGAGCATTGCAGAGTGGGTATCCTGCCTCTTCCTCTAGCTGTGGGGAGGCTGGTCATGCTGACCTCACGGCTGCTGGGTAGGTTGGCAAAGTCTTCACGGTACCAGTGTCCCTGTTGTTTCCCTTGTTCTCTAGAACATCTTGGGCCCCGAACCTGGGTCTGATCTTCTTCCTGCTTCAGCATTCAGCTCTTTCCTGATGTTCTTCTCCTTCCCTGGTGTTCACACTCTCTAACTTTTCCTTCCATTCTTGAGGGCTCCTGCTCCAGTCCAGCTGCCTCACACCTGGATGAGACTAGCCCTGTCCACACAGCCTCCCAGCTTCTCCATCAGCCTGGCCTGTAACTGGCCCAGCTCCTTCCTTTGTCCTTTTCCGCCCTTGCTCAGGGGCCTTCAGCGGCCATGTTCTCGGCAAGGTGACATCAGTTGTGACTGTCCAAGTTCATTTCCCCTACTCCTACTTCCTGGAAAGTCTTTAAAAACTGAGATTTTTGTATGCTTTTTACATTAAGGATGACAGCTTGGCCAACTTTGGGGAGGTGGGTATCTATTTCTCACTGAGTTTCTGGAAAACCGTGAGACAATGGCAGGAACGTACTTCAGTTTGACTGTTGGTCAGGCTAAATGGCTTTTGTTTGTTTGTTGTTTGCTCTGGGGAAAGTGACCTGGGTCGCTTTATGCCTCCTTCCTGTTATAGAAACTGTTTTTATTGGAGTCCAAGCTGAGAGAATGTGTGGGATGTTTTAAAGATCTGTAATTTTTAAAAGAGAGGCATCTTTGGGGTTTCTGTGGGTGGCAAAATACACCTATCACAGAAACCCCCAAAACCACAGAACAAAAAACCCCATCCATTTGGGATTTTTATTCTGTGGTCCATTGCTGCGAATGGAAGCCTTTGGTATATTTCCTTTGAAGGTCAGGTTCGGCTTTCACTCTTGAGTGCCTGTTAAATGTGCTAATTTTATATCTGAAAATAAAAATGTATTATCTTGATAGCTGAAGGGAGAAATCAAGTGTCTCTCAGAATCACTTCTCTCCCACTGGGACTTTGGGTCCCAGCCTCAGTACCAGCAGACTTCTTGCCTAAAGAAGCATGGAGGCGGGGCTGTTAGCATTCTCCAGCACTCTGAAGACGATGGCTTCACTTCTGGACACCAGAGCCTCTGTGTGGGGATACATCTTTAATATGGGGCAGATATCGAAAGGCAGCCAAACTCCCTTAGGCCACTGTAGACTCTGGGAGCCTTTGCTGCCCAGGAAATTATTGGGTCCCTTCTTGTTCTAGGATCAACATCCACCGTCCACAGCCAAAGAGAACTTCCATGCCTTTGAAAACCTCTGCTCTGTGTGCAGGCTGCACGTGGCTGTCCCAGGCCTCTGAGGCATCTGGTCAGGTGGAGACTTCATGGCTACCTGAGGTGCCTGTGATTATTACTCAGTCAGCTCTTCCCGTGGGTCAGCATTGCCTCTTATAAAGGAGCGCAGAGGTCTCCAGTCAGGTGACCTCCTGTCTCAGGCGTGACCCGGGAGTGACCTCAAGACACAATATTTCCTCTGCACCTCTTAATCTCTGTTGAGACTAAGGCTTTGTAGGATTGAGACTTTGCTTCTTGACTCTGGTCCAGAGGACTAGCGGCCCCACGGTCATGCTACCCATCGGGACCTTTTGTGATGACGAAACGTTCTAAATCTAGTGCAGAAGCCGTGCGCTGCACGCGCGCTCTCGAGCTCTTGAAATGTGGCTGGTGTAAATGAGAAACTGAATCCATGTCTGGCTTGCATTGCGAGGCATTCAAATACCACCCGTGGCAACTGTGTTAGACAACCTAGCTTTCCAGGTCTGGGCAAAGGGGTCAAGCATAGGAGCTAACAGAGAGCCACAGCCCTGTGTACTCCTAATGAGAGGACATCTGACTGAGGTGCCCGTGCCTGGGGCAAGCATCATCACACAAGTCCAAGCGAGTTTGATAATGCTTGACTCACCATCAAACAGTTTTATGTTCCTGTGATCCTTTTTTTTGGGGGGGGGACCCCACTGCTATACTGTTCTGAGAAGGTAGTCATTATTGACTGCGCTTTTGTGTCCTAGAACAGAGGACTAAACTTCTCGCGGCTCCCATTTCTTGAGCAGGGTCTATGCCAGGTTCCTCTGTTAGATTTCACAAAGCCATGACCTAAATATTCAGTGTCCACAGAGGATAAATACTGAACTCAGGGATCTGTTCTAGGGAGGAGTGGGGACAAAGGCAAGAGGGAGGCACTGTCACCTGCGGCTTAGATTAAAACTCGGGGGTCTGTTTTGCATGGCTTTCTTTGAATGGAGCCAGCTGAAACCTGCAAAGGTGTTCTTGCGTTAAAAGGGACTGACTGAAGATGTGATGAGCTGTGGATGAGCTGTGGATGGAGCTGAATTCCCCAGCTTCGCTTTCTGGGGGCTCATCATTAGGCCTCGTTCATCCTTTGGCCTGGAGATGCCTACGGGGTAAATGACCGGCCTGGTACCACCTACGGATGAATCGCCAGTGCATGTCCTCCCACAGTACCCTGGGTCCCTGCTGGACTCTGCCCATTGTTCTGTAAACCAATTGGGTTTCACTGTTAGTATCTGCATCCTCACTGGTCCTTTCACTGTGGAGAATCTATCAAAAGTCTACACAGCTACTGCTAATCTGTTTACCACGTCTCCCACCCCCCAGTCCCTATCTCCCCTGTCAGTGTTCCTTTCTGCCCTGATTGCAAATATACAACTTCAAAAAAAGATTTCAAATATATATATATATAAATCAGATTGTTGGAGAGGTTCAGAATGTGAGCCTTGCCTGGAAGACAAGACCAGGTAATTTATTTAGAAGGAGTGGCTAAGGCCATGTGACCCCCGGCACATGTGCATATGTAGCTTCCTTCCAGGCACTGCTGACTCCCCTCAGTTCTCACTGCGGCTGAACAGAGTCACGCAGTTGGTGATTGCCCGGGGCAAGATGAAACACACAGGTGCAGGTCTCTCTTGCATTTTGGTTTATTTTCACATTTGACTGTGTTACTCGGAGAGTAAAGGGAAGACTCAAGGGACAGAGCAGAGGGCAGGGGACCGAGGCTACCGAGTGCTGTATGTATATTCTGCTTCCAAGCCAGTGAAGGCGTTCACCCTTTATGCCCCCTTTTCTGGCCTGGATGTCTTTGATTGCTCAGCCCAAGTCAGCTGGAACAATATAAGACACCTGCTCAGACGTGCTTTGACCTGGTGTCTTAGTTTTATCTAGAAACTGCTTTAAAAATAGTTTTATTATTTTTTAGAGAATTTCATACATCATATCTTGACCATATTCATTCCCCTCTCGTCCCCGCTACTCCCTCCGGGCCCACCCTTCTCCCACCTTTCCTGCCCTATTTTATATATATATGAGACTGTCCTGCTGAGACTGTCTTGGTCCTCCCAGCTCTCCCAACTTTTGTGTCAACCTTGTCCTAAACTTGGTCTCTTTTATGGCAGCAAGAGGCAACCAGCAATGTCCAGGGCTCCCCACTTCCTCAACCTGAACTTGTCCGGAGGGAGGGAACCTGTCTCAGAATCCCTTTGGGTCTTGGATGGCAGGCACATTCTGGGTGGATCTGTACCTGAGTAGGTGACCTCAGGTTTTCTAGAGACCGGGAAGTGTGAGGGAAGATGGGGCCCACAATAAAGACTGGCGTGGCCACTGAGAGAGGAGCTTATTTATGCTGGATGGGGACCTGTAGTTCTCACCGTTCTTGTGCTCTGCTCTGCCAGTCTGTCGTGGATGCAAAGGTGTGATTTACTGTTATAAGCAGAATGCGAAGCTAACTGCTCCTTTGTTTCCCCTCACCCCTCCTCCCCTGTCTCCCCTTCCTGTCCCACCTCTCATCTCTCCCCCCTTTTCTTCACCCTCTTTCTCCACCCACCCATCCCTCTAGCCTTGCTCTCCCCTTCTTACCTATCACCCTTCTGGCTGGGTAACTGAGTCCCTAGTGTGAACTACCTCGTTTCTCCCTGCACTAAAGTCTTCCTCTTCGCTCCCGCCAGGAAGAAGAAATGCCAGATGTAGAAATTGACATTGATGACCTTCTTGATGCCGACAGCGAGGAAGAAAGAGCTTCGAAATTACAGGTAAACAGCTTTCAGAATCTAGATTCTTCTGAGCATGGATGTTTGAGTCTGCTTGGTTTTCCAAAACCTGGGCAGAACTGGTGTTGCCTGGTGGGGACACTGGCGGCCACCAGGGTTTGAACAATGGCATTTGGCAGAGCAGAGGGGCATTAGTGCTAGCTTTTCACCAATTGGTGCAGGTCTGATCAGCTGCTGACAGCAGACAGTGTTCCAGGGACCTTCTGGACAGTGCTCTCGAGGCGTATTATCTTGGGAGACAGAGTTGTCTCTACCTTGAAAAGTCAATCTCCAGGGAAGAGAGGGTTACCATGCAGGCAGCTACGAAGGAAAGAAACTGTGCCAGACTGGGGAATATCCAAGCCCTGGGCACTGGTCTTGCAACTGTGGATTAAATCGTTCATGAGAGCAATTCCTAGAATTAGATGGCTTGGAATGTGATTCAGTTTAGCAAAGTATCTTTTTATTAGGTGCTCACTTGATTGTATTGTGCCAGAACAGCTGGGATTGAAGTGTTTAATGTTCCATATCAGAAAGCAATGAAACACAGTTCTTCCCATGGGAGGTCAGGTCTACCACTTCTCCGTCTGCACTGCGCAGTTTCTAAAACTGATTAACCTGTGGCCTGCCATTGTTCTTAACGCCCACTGGTAATCACTGTTGGTGGCTGTTGACAATCCCCAGTGGCACAGGGTGACTGGCATCAGTCAAAGTGCCCATTTTATTTCATTGATGTGATTAATGTGTTCATAATTACCAGTGCCCTGGGAGTGGAGAGCAGACTGTGCTAGAATGATTTATTCCTTGTGTGTAGATTTCACTGGGAGACAATAGTTGTTTTTTTTTTTTAAATGAAATAGGTGTTAGTTCTGTAGAAAATAAAATGACATACAAAATAAGCTGAGAACTGGGAAAGGTTTTTAGCCTCCAGTCCCCTTTCCTGCTTGGTCCAGGTGAGTGAGGAGAGAAGGGCCTAGGACCATCTATGGCTGAAGCATGGCCAGTGCCCTCTCTCCATGTCCACGGTGGTTACCACTGTCTTACATAGGCAGGGTCTCAGCTCTAAGTATGTTTAGTTTAATATTAACCAGGTAGAGAGTTCAAAGGGAAGGGTGTGAATGTATGTGTGTGTGTAGAAAAAGGTAAAAAAAAAATCTTTAAAGCAAGCTCTGCTCGACAAGGCATTTATAACTTAGTGAGGGTTATATCTGATTTTCCAAACCCTAATAGCTTCCAAAGCAAGTCTTTTGTAAATCAAAAACTTTATGAGTATCTGTGTGCATATATACCCATGCTAAGGACAACACATGGCTGCATATGAATGCTGTTTTTATATCTTAGCTGACCAAGTGATACTGAAATAAAATGTGATTGTAGATAGTCAAAAGGAAGTCTTGGCAGACGGTTGTAAAATAATAATTTAAAGATGAAATGAGGGGCCCGGAGAGAAGGCTCAGCAATGAAGAGCACCTGCTGCTCTTGCAGAGGGTTAGAAGTCAGTTCCCAACTCCCATGTCGGGTAGCTCACAACTGCCTGTAATCCAGCTCCATGGGATGTCCAGTATCCTCGTGTGGCCTTCATAGATACTGCGTGGACGTGTACATACTCCGCAGACATACCATATAATACTTTGAGATAAAATAAATTAAGAAAAAAATGACATTTTAATTTCACTTTGAAGGCAATGAATTTAAAAATAAAAACTGACTTTCTGTGTGTTTAATTCTAGGAAGCTCTCGTAGACTGCTATAAACCAACAGAGGTAAGCAAATTACTCTACTAAGTGCTGTGCTAGAATTGGTTTTTGTCAAATCAATTTGTCTGTTTTGAAAGCTTAGCTACAGCAAGTGAATACAAATGGCCGGTTTCCACCCTTGAGTGCCTGTGCTCTCGCTGTGCTGGCATTGTTGTTTCTCAACCTGTTTAGTTTAGGAAGATGCTAACGGAACAGGGTGTGCTTATGCTCAGAGAAAAATCTTCACTCCACAGAAAATTGTGAGGGGATGCAGCGTCATTATAGAGGGAGAACATACCATATGGCTTTATGGGTATGCATTTTTAAAGAATGCTTAAAACCGGGGCTGGAGAGATGGATTAGTGGTTAAGAGCACTGGTTGCTTTTCCAGAGGACCTGGGTTCGGTTCCCTGCAGCTCCATGGCAGCTCACAACCACCTGTAAGTCCAGTTCCGAGGGATTCAGTGCCCCATTTCTGACATCTGTGGGTACTAGACATACACCTATACATATGGTGTATATACATACATGCAGGAAAAAACATACACATGATTGCCTTTATTAGGAGAAAACTGCTATGCCTTCTCTGGGTATTTCTCAAGTGATATGCATTAGCATAGGAAACAATGGATATTGCTGATTAGACCAAATCAATCGATGTAGTATCTAAACGATTAAAAGCAAAAACAGGGGAGATATTAAGATTTTAAGATATTAAGATGTTAAGATATTAAAGTTATGAAACTATTGCCCCCCCCAAATACTTTCAGTTTGTTCTTATGGTAAACCAGAGAAATTAGAAAACCTATTAGGTGTTTGAGGGGTTACTTAATACCAAAGCATGGCAGTAATTCTTCTGATTTCTGATGTAGTAAATTATGTAGGAAAAATGCTTTTAGGTGTGTGTATGTATGAGTTGAAAGTGTTTTGTGATCATTTGGTTGAGGGTAGATATCAGTGAGAACTATATATTTAAAGCCTCCAGTTTTGATTACATCCTATGGAAATTTAAATGATTAATTTTGTCTATTAAAAGTGCATTTTGGTGAACATAACATACATTCATACTTTTGAAAACCTCTAAATGTTATAATACTGAGAAAGCAAAGCTTGTGTTCCTTCTCCCGTCTCTCTAGAATCATAAATTTAACATTTATATTTAACACGTTTGTCTATTTCTTTTCATTTGCTATTATATCCCTAGATATGTATTTATTGCTTTTATTCTTCATCTGTCTGTTGACTTGAGAAAAAAAATGATAGTTTTTTTAGTATTGCCATAATTCCTTTCCATAAATCACCTCAATAAAGTAATCTAGCCATATTTTATCAAATCAATAGTTGAAGCCTATAATATTATGATTGAAGTGTTTTCACTACTAAGCCAACAGTAAACTAGGGCCATGGCTCCTTTTGTGTGTGCGTGCCTGTGTGCGGGCATGCGTGTGTGTGTGTGTGTGTGTGTGTGTGTGTGTGTGTGTGTGTGTGTGTGTGTGTCCCTGTGACTTCTCCTGGAGTTGATAAGTTCCGGGCCTTTCATCTAGTCTCGTCCCCGATGTTATTTTTGTCGACGTCCACTGTTTTTGTCTATCCATGATGTTTCCCACATGCTCAGTGCTTCACTCTCGTCCCTTCTCCCTAAAACCTTCCTCCCGGAGCTGCTGCTCAGTGGTTTGGAGACACTGTTCCCGGGCAGTGCTGAGAACTTGACTTGAAATTTCTTTTCATTGCTGTCCCGGATCATCAGCCTCCACACCCCAGTCTCCTGTACTTTGGAGATGGTTGGAACCCACCATCCAGTAATATTTTTGAAAAGGATATTTATAGGTACATTTTTTTGAATTCCAGTATATGGGATACTATACCTCAATCAATTTTAACAGAAAATATAATAGAAGTCTAAGATAAAGTCATAATTAAACTCAAGTAGAAATACACTATTCCGTGGCGGTGGGTGTCATTTATAGTGATAAGAAGTCCAAAGCCATTTCTGCTCTTAGACTTTTGCATGTGATGACTTCTCTCCAGTGATCTTGTGGGGTTCTTTCTATATTTTGAAATTTCACAGTAGCTTGCTATGGTGTGATGCCGTGTATTCTATTAACTCTTAGAGCTTTCTGTGTTTCAGAAATCACCTTTGTTTTGCTCATTGATTTTATTTATTTCTTCCTCAGCTTTCTGCATCTTGGGCTTTCTCCTTATTTAGAAATCAACTTGAGAAGGAACCTCGAAGCTCATTCCCATTTCGGTTTCCCTGTCCTTCACTTCATCCCAGCTTCTGAAAGACTTCCTGGACTATAGTTATTCTAGTGATTTTATTGACATCTTATAATGACATCTAACAGCCAAGATGTCTTTTTGGACTGGTTTTCATTTGTTTTAGTTTTTCTTTCTGGTTCAGGAGTCCATTTTATTCCCTTTTCCATGTGGGGATTTTAATCAGGTGTTTCCTTTTCAATTTTATTATTGAATTTTATGGGGTGAGCAGCCTGGCAGTAAGACTTTTTATGCTGTTTTATGTGCAAAGAGAGAAGGTCAATATAATCATGAGCAACATAAAATGTCGGTCCCTTAAAATTACATTATAGTGAGCAGTCGCCATTGTTGCCATAAACACAGAGATTTCTGTTTACACAACAAAAATCTCACACTTTCCTGAGAAAAGACCCCCGCTTTAAGTGCTGGATGACTACTTGGGTGTCTCACTTCTTTGCTCCTCCCCCCATACCAGGGAGATTCAGGTTTTGTCAAATTGATTGGTCTAGCCGCCTGCAAGAATAGTGCCAGCTTGACTCCAGGTTTTCTGGAAGCAGAGGAGGCAGGAGAGTCTCCCTCCTTAGCTGTTTGGGGAACAGAGCTTGTTTAGCTACAGAGCGCTGGGGAATGAGTCAGAATTACGACAGTCTGATGTTTGGAGACGGGCTTAAAGCTGTTCTGGCAGGTTAGACAAGGCTGCTGGGGATGGAGCTTCCACTGGCCATGCAGCTCGGTGTACAGTGCTTGCCTAGCATGAGCAGGGCCTTGAGTTCCATCCACAGGGCTGAGGTAAAAAGCAATGGCTTATGCAGATGGGTAACCTGCACTGTGGAGAGGCTCTGGTTGCTGCTGAGAGCAACCACATTGGTAGGTGCAGGGTGTCACTTCTCAGACACTCACTCCCATTTTGTTCTGTTCCCCTCTTAACTGGATGGCTGTTTAAATGAGACAACATGGACTGGCTGGTAGATATTTTGATCAGCCAGCCCCATAGACAGGACTCCTAACAACCCTCTTTGTGTCCCCTAATTTTTGCCATACCTAGAGATCAAAATTCTCCAGTGGTTCACAGCTATGCCAATAAAGGAACACAGAGGGCCCTGTCCCTGCAGCAAAGCTCGGCTAATTCACCTCCCCCCTTTTGGCGTGTTCGTTTGTGCATACTTCTTCATATGGGTCTGTGTGTGGATGTAAGCACATGTGGATGCATGGAGGCTAGAGATCGACCTTGCCTGTCGTTCCCTGGGTGCTGTCCACCTTGGTCTGGTTTTGTGGTTTGTTGGTTCTGTGAGAGAGGCTATCTCCTTGGCCTGGAGCTCTCCGCATAGGCTAGGCTGGTTGGTCAGCAAGCCCTAGGAATCCTCTATCCTCTACCTCCCCAGGGCTGGGATTAGAGCCTTAACTACCACCCTTGACTGGGGGTTGAACTTGGCTCCTCATGCTCCTCCACAGCAAGCACTTTGCCAGATGAGTTATCTTTCTCCTTAGCCTCAACCTCCACGCATGATGTGGAGGTTTAGAAGACTTTTTTAAAAAAAATAAATAAATAAAAATGCAAGCCTTGACTATTCCGAAAGGAGGGAAGTGAGCTGGAGTTTCCAAGCGAACGTCTCTGGATTCTTTTTTTAGCCTACGGTTTTGAGGAATGGAAACGGTGCTGAGTGTGGGACTCTGGTCATTTACCCTAAAGGGTTCCCTGAGGAAAGAGGAGTGCTTTGTGTTTTGGTGTACTCTCGTATGACACAGTTTGCGACATCTGGACTGTGAGAGAAGCCACCGGCTTCTATTTTATCAGTTAAGTGGTTCACACCTATCAACCTACATTGTCATATTTAATCTGCACAGCCATCAGTTAGACTGCAGAGGGTTCGGGTACCTTGTCTGCGGGGCCAGAGCAGGGAGCCAGGGAACCAGTGCTTGACCCTGAGTTCTGACACTGGGCCTGGAGCTCTGTTGTTCCATCCCACCAGCCCTCCAAGTGCCCAGCCTCAGCGAGAGGTTCAGAACTTTAAAGAGTGTTACCCAATCTGAACGAGATACTGAATAATTGAAGCACCCCCTGCTTTTAAGGCAGCCATCTCTGGACTGCTGTATTTGATCAAAGTCTCTTTATAGACAGTCATGTCACCGAGAAGTCTGGAATGTAAATCATTGCTGATGGAGATAGATTGGTTTACTGACTCTTGCTGTGGAGAGGGGATGGGCGGTGGGAAGAAGAATGGGTTCTGAGTTAGCTGAGTCTTTCAGGCAGAACCAGCTAGTGCTGAGTAAGCCTAATTCCTACTCTCAACTTCTCTGAGCTTCCATTTCCTCTCGTCATCAAGGCCCCTGTGAATGGAAGCATCATAGCCATCCATCGCCCTGCATTTCTGTAACGGTTATTTGCAGTGAAAAATTTAACAGCCATAACAACAGTAATAGTTAGTTAATTAATAAGCTGGGCATTGATCTAATCACATCTCATGTACTGACTGTTTCTTTATGAACACTTTAAACACTTATTAAATCATTCATGGCTCAGTGTTTTCCATAGACTAAGATTTTCAGAGTAGTTTTAGGTCCACAAATTAATAGACCAGAGGACAGAAAGATTTCCTGTCAGACCTCCAACCTAATCTATGATCAGCATCCCCACCACAGCAGCACATCTGTAGGTCCTGATGAACATGACACATGGTAACCATGCAAGTCCATAGGCTAGCTAGGGTTCACACTTGTCCCACCGCAAGTTTTCAGGGATTTTTGCCCAGTGTCCATCATCATAGAGTCTT